AAATGAATCAGAAGAACGTCTAGAAAAACAGGGTCTCACAATCTTTCTAACCCGCAAAAACAGCTATTAGACAGGAAATTTAAAAAATCGTTTTCTGCCACCTGCAGCACGAAGAATTATTGACCTGCACTTTCACATTTGTCCCCTAGCCACCTGCCTTAAATAGCACTAATGAGCTGGAAATGTTAAATCACCATCCTCTTTGCAGACATAATATCAAACATGTTAAAGAGATCACTGGTTCTGTAACCATTTGGAACAAAACTAATGATTCTTCATCTAACCCATTAAAAAAAAGAAAAACTAATTTTCAACAGTATTTAAGTCTTAGATTTGGGTTCTTCAAAATGTGTGCAAGTATCTTTTTGCCCCATGCTAGTTTAAAGCATAAAAAAGCATAAAGATACTTTTACTAGCTGGAAATGATCTGAAAGGGATGGTGTGTTAGATTAATACAAATGAGTAAAATGTTAAGGTCTTTAATTGAAATGTTTCCCCTTTTGGATTTAATTTACTATGATTCCAAGTCTAAAATAGGGAGAACGTAGCCAGGAGATCTTTATATAGTTATAGAATAACTAATAGTTCTGGGATAATTACAGGTTAAGCATAACACCAAAATTAATTGTGATTTACAGTATATTGCTTTGTTTGCAGATTCTGAAATAATCCCGTGTCAGACTAGAATATTTAATGATGAAATAAAGGCATTTCCTAGTTAGCTTCATACTCTTAATGCATCTAAAACAGTTCAAGTTGTACTAATATGGAATACAAATTACTACCATCAAAATAACGAAATAGAAGAACCTTAATTCCAGCACATGTGAAAATGACATTTGTACCCACTGCACGATCTTTTTAATGTAGTTAAATTTGTTCCTGCAAAAACAATTGGCTGTCAGACGTCACAGGTTCTTAGGCCACATCTTAATGATCGGGATAATCTCCTGTGAAAAGAAACTCATCTGTGAGACGATTTACAGCGGTTTTCTCCAGCATTGTCAGAAAGTCCTAGGACTGCAAAACCATCACCTGTTAGCTGCAGATTCATACCACTGCACCTCGGCTGTAAAGAGACAAGCCAAAGGCAAGGTGCGTGAGAACCAGCTCAATGACAAAGACTGACAGTCCCATCTTTGTACTGAAGAAATCCAAAGAGTGGAGAGTAGAAATGTAGATGCTTAACCAACATGTTTCTCTGGACCCTGTACAGTGATGCTCAGTGCAGAAGGACAGCCTCACTGCAGATCTGATCACCAGTACACTGGAATGGCAGGTAGATGTCTATAAAAATAAAACAGGCTCGCTGCTGCTTTCATTGAATACTGTCAAATAAATGTGAAATAGAAACTTCTTAAATTTAATGCCTTGCATTTTCCTAAAAGGCATGTTCATTTTCCTTAAGGGAACCTAGATGATCTAAATCCTGAAATTAATGCATATAATTAATTTCAATGTACGATAATTAACAAACGAAAGAAAAGCTTTTCATCAGGCTATCGGCTTTACCTGAATGACAAGTTCTCTTCTTGGAAATTGGGTGCAGATTTAATAATGGAACAGGTAAAGGTGAGGAAAGAAAAGAGACACCTGCAGAAGACTCCACACCTGAAATGTTTGTGCTTCTTTACTTTTACCTTCTTCTTTACCTTCTTTTTGTCAATCTCAGTATTCAAATCCAGACTGAAGACCTATTACTTCAGCCTAGCCTACTCACACCTTAAATTACAGTATAGCCTGCTGCAGCCATGTCTGCTGGTGCTGCTGTCAATGCCATTGTGTGTCTCTGTGTTGGCCCACCAGGTAGATACTGTACATCTGTTCTGACTAAACTCTCCTATTTTCCTCCCCACATGTCCGGACAGGCACCATCTGAGTTGGGTGTTGTATCACCACCGTGGAGTACTGACATACAGAAGACATGATGGATGGATTAATACCCCCATTCATTTATTTCCTTTTTTTAAATTATATCAAGTTAGCATGCCCAAAGGGGTTGGGCAGCCAGTTGACCTTGGACCCCTAGAGGTTTTTTTTCTCCTTACTAAGGAGTTTTTGGTTCCTCTCCTCCGTTGTCTTCTGGTCTTCTGTTCTGTATTCACAGCATGTATGGTCACTTGTATTGTTAAGCGCCTTGGGGCAACCTTGTTGTGAAAGGCGCTATATAAAAATAAATTAATGGAATTGAATTGAATTCTTTACATTTGCCTGCTCCTTTGCAGCCTGCGCATGCTGATGGGGCTACCCACTTGAGCAGATGTAATCATTATGAATCATGCAGTGACAAAGATATTATACCATTTATGAACAATATTAATAATACAAGAATCTTTTTGTGCTGAAAATGTGGACATTTTTCAGACGACAGGCACGTCAGGGGTAAGCATATTAACGGTCTGTATGCGATTTACCAGACACAAAGGTTTACTGCTGAAATAATAACAATTTTATTTAGGTTTTATTGTTTATTATTTAGTTCCATTTCCTTCCAGGAACAGCTGGATGAGATGCTTGGATAAATATGTTACTAGCCAAGAAACAGATAAGACGGGCTGCATGCCCTCCTGTCATTTTGCAACCTTTTTATTTTTTATGTAAGGACAGCATTTTTGTGCCCATTATTGTCTTTTGATTCTGTTGTTGTTCTGTTATGTGCTGTCTACATCGTGTGGTGTTATCTGCTGTACTGTGCTGTCTGCTGTACTGTGCATATCCTGAGATAACATCATGAATAAGAATCTTATTGTACATGTACCTACGGGAAATAAACTCTTCAATCTATCAACAGACACAGGAAAATAACTTAGGAATTTCTGCTTCACTTACAAGAGCAGGGATAAATACTAATGACATCAACTCTATGCATGATGGGTGCTTCAGAAGTGTCTCTTGTAGAGAGTGTGCAGAGAAGCTTTGATACATCTTGAGTGTCATGAGCGCATTATCTTTCTCCTGCATTCTGCTCTACCATTGTACAGGTTATTACCAGACTTTATTGTATCGACTTGCACAGAAAAAAAAGGGTCATTTTCACAAGTTCAGAGGTCTGCTGTGGTGGCGATCTAGGCTGATATGTCATTTGCTGTCATATAGAACCCACTGTTAGTAGTTTGCAAAGGCAGGTGACCAGAGGCTCAAGGTCAAGAGGCGTGCAGTGATCTGTCCCCACTGTGCTACAGTTTCACATCACTTTACAGCCCTTTTAGAAAAAATGGTGCAGATATTCTTCCTTCTGGCCTGGCCATAACTACCCCTTTTCCTGTTGGAAAGTGGTGTAACTGGCATTATAGAAGGCTTGCTCTCAGTTTATCGTGAATCACAAAATAAAGTATCACTGTTCAATTGAGTTGACGTTGCGCTAAACTAAATTCATGAATGTATCAAGATTCTGAGATTTCCAGCCCTCTGTGTTGTGGTGGTACTACGAGGGACCTGGGCTTGAGTCCAGCTGAGCGCTCTTGTCTGTGTGGAGCGTGCACGTTCTCCTCATGTTTGCAGGGATTTTCAGTCGTCCAAAGACTTGCAGGTTATGTTTCATTGGCCACACTAGATTGTGCCTTTCTGGGTGTGGGTGTTGGTGTGGGCATGTACAGTATATGAGGCTGCTTGTGGGGATTTCTCAATGGTAGTTGGGGGTGTCCTCAGTACTGGCTATGGGACTGTTCATAAATAAATCAAATAAGCGCGATACACCAGGCAGTCTCTTCTCATCTTTTACCTGATGTTCTGATCATTGTCAATACCTTTTCTTAGATGTTATTGTGCGTCTTAAATTATACCTTTAAAACAGAACTTTAAGTTCCTAATTGCTGTGGTGTTGTGTCATTTTAGAATTATGCATGGCTGGTTGCCCGTCCAATTTTCAATAATGTTCTCTGGTCTGTGAGAGAAGGTTAATCAACTCCTTCTGGAAAAGCCAGAGAACTGAAGTGTTTGTGGTCATCCTCTGATGACACTGAACAGATAAGCCTTCAGATTGTTTCTGTTTCATCCTCTCAAATCGAATTATCCATTAAGGCAAACTGGCTGAAATTAGTTTTAGAAAGGCCAAGGAACAGAACATCGCAAACGTATTGTTTGTGGACAAAACAGTATTTGCCATATTTCTGAACAAAATGAGAAAAACTACAGTTATAATGCAGTTAAGGGAAAACATTGTTTTCCTTAGTTCTACATAAACACTCTTTCTCAGGTGATATTTAATTCATATCTTTATAGCTTAAGTGTTTATTAACAGTATATACTGTAGATTTCCTCCTTATAATAAATCATAGGCATGTACATTCTTTCCTGACAGAAAAAACTAAGGTATAATTATCAGGTATAATGTCTTCAGCTCTGGCTCTTTTAATTTAAAATATTTCCTCTTTGGCCACAAAAGGCTTACAGACAACAAACAACAAAAGGCTGAAGTAGCCAGTTTCTAAAAAAAAAATAGCATTTTGTTCTTTTACTTAAAATGAAGACAATATACCTGTTGGATCCTCTGTAAGATTTTCACTTTAGAATTCAGTGATTAAAATAAACTATACCAGTAATGCAATAAAATAATAAACAGTTGAGTTTGGAAGAATAACAAACCATCAATTAAAACCGTGACTCAGTCAAACCATACATTACTTTAGAATCATGTGCCATTTTTGGAGGGGTCTATGCTAAGAATTTAGGTGACAATTATTTATATAAATACCTAAAGAGAGGAGCTATGCGTCCTTCATTAGGGCTGTTTAACTGAATTATGCACGCACATAGTATTTCTGCAGTCTAGGCTTTATTGTGCAACATCATTGTGTAAGTATTTAAGAATAAAACACAGGGCAAAAACAACAATCACTCACTTGGCATCTGAGTTCCACTTGCACCTATGAAGAAGCACTACCTTGAAACATTGCTGTGTCATTAACAGGCTGACCTATAGCACACCACCTTTAATCCATAGCACTGCGTCCCAGGCTGAAGATACCGTACCCTAATATTGGCTGTGGTTTGTGTTTCAGAAATGCACGGTACATTTGTGGTGCTGCTGCCTCTCAGCCTGATTGTGATGGTCTTCGGGGGGATGGCTGGGTTCATCAGCATCCTGGCCAGGGCGTATCTGCTGCTGCTGCTGACAGGATTCATCTTCCTGTTTGGGGGTAAGTGTGACAGGCTGTCTCCCTTACGGTGTGCAGCCCAAGAGTGGACACTTGCCACACAAGGCCCTGCACACGTGAAGGCATGCTTCAAGATCAAACAAGAAGTTAAAACATCTTATTATTAAGTTTGCACAACCAAGAGAACCATCCACTGGTCACTAGTTAGTGAACACCAGTCTGTCAGTGTCCGCTGTGCTGCTGAAAACAAGGTCATTAACACAAATTCAGATCCTTAGCTAATTGAGCTTTGTAAGTAGAAAAATAAAAAAAGCCTTCCTAAAATGAATAACCCCCTCTTAAAAACTTAAAAATAGAATGAAAACAAATCAAAACCCTGTCACAGCTACACCCATCACCTGCCTCTTCCTCACACTTCAGGAACGTCATACTGGAAGCTCCTGGGTGTGCATTTGGGGACTTCAAGGAGGTCCGTGCATTTGGCAGTCTGTCTATTTTAATGGCAAAGAGCTACTGCGTTGATTGCTTGTTACCCAGTATTTGAATCAAGGGACGTTCCTAGTCACATTTCACCCAGCCCCTGTGGCACAGTTCCTAACCCACCCTTCTGTTCTGCTCAGCCCTCATCACCCTGGCTGGAGTCAGCGTCTATGTGGCCTACTCAGCCGCAGCCTTCAAAGAAGCTTTGTGCCTGTCGGGCAGGAAGACCCTGGAGAACATCGACATCCGGTTCGGTTGGTCCTTAGCTCTGGCCTGGATCTCCTTCATCGCCGAAGTCCTTACCAGCCTCGCCTTCCTGCTGGCCTCAAGAATCGTGGGCCTCAGACGGAGACAAGAGCAAGGAATATGAGACCCGTTCTCCAAGGGGAGAAGATAATCAACTCTGTGGAAAAATGAATCCAAGAGTGAAACACTCTGTGACCGTGGCACCGAGAAACACCCATTCAACACAGCTGCCACTTTAAAAACCATCACCAGACAAATGTTGGTTTTAACATTTTCTTTTGCTACGACAAACAACTGGGTTTCTCTAAATTTCGTTTCGCATTACATGTATGTACAGTATCTGCCCAATTTGTAGTCATCTCTTTTTAGAGGGAGAGTAATAGACGCCCTCACCCCACAGGCCGTCATGAAGACGTCTTTGACAGGTTCCGGCTTCGCAATGCCTGGTAAGAGCTCTAGCACACGATTGGAGGATCGTTATCACTGACGTCACCGCAAGCCCGCGGTAAACCTGCACGGAACGGGCTGTCTGACCAAACCTCAGAGAGCCCTGGTCGGTGAATCACATCCATAACCCCCAGGTTCCGAAAACGAGTAGGTAAATACATGAGCTAGGCTGATTTTTAAGATTGCAATGCAGTTTTGAAATTTGAACCTCTAGAGCTTGCATAAGGGTATTAAAATGAAACCAACCGATACACGCGTAGTCGATCTATTGAAATTTCTTATTAGAAAACGCCGTCCTAATTCAGTGGTTCATGTGGGTATGCGCCCTCGCCACTGCCGCCTCAGGTCGGCCCCCCACTGCTGGGGACTCGAACCCGGGCCTCCAGCGTCACTCAACAGGGACCCAGCCAGTTGAGCTAAAGGGAAATCTAGCTCAAGGGAAGGCCCGTGACGTCACCTCGCTGGTAAGCCGGCTCGCACAACCTGTGATGTCGGCCTTATGCGTTACACTACACTTCACCTGCTGTTGCTCTATACGTGTAATTATCCTGTCTTGTGCACCAGAACCGAGTGCTTTTCACGACTCGGTTTTTTGAGAAAACAGATATAGCTTGGAAAGCGTAATTAACAGGGAGTTCTGACACTCATTTTTCAGTGTTGTCGCATTCGTTTTTATTATACATTAAGCTCATGGTGTTTGCAGACGAAGGCGCTTCTGCGCTTGATTGAACACCAGGCAACTGTGATTTAGAAACACAAGGATGCAAATCGCAATGGTTATTTCCATGGAGGAATGCCACTAGGAGTTTACAAACGAAGGCTAAAAGATGTGAGCTGATTCCGCCTCTGTCCGTGGATCATGATAAAACAGCCCGAACGTTTTCAGCAACGTGCACTCATAGATGGTTTAATTTAACAACCACCCTCCTTGCACATTAACACATCCAATGTATTGTTCAAACAAACGTGACAATGGATCTTTATGTGCCTCATTTATTTTTACATCCTGTTCTTTAGCACATAAACCTAGTAAAAAAACAAAACAAATCTGAAACTGCATTATCACTCTTTCAGTAACGGAAATAAGAAATCGGTTAATATGACCCAAGAAATCAATTAAATCAATCTGTTCTGCTCATCTGCTTTTAAGGAGCGCATTCATAGCTGCTGTAATAAATTAAAGACTTTAAAATATGTTAGCCATTATTTTCGAAAGGAACGCCTACACAGGCCTGTTTACAATCCTATTAAACTGCAGATATTCCCATGGGTGTAACTGGAAAATAAAACCCTAGCTATCCGCGACGCTTCTCGTTTAATAAGTTAACAGAAGACCAAGTAAAACAGCATTGTAAGTGAAATAAAGGACTGACTGTTGGGTTAGATTGTACACGCAGAGGGAATCAATAGGACAGTTGCACTGTCTGTAGAAACTAAAGCATTCGACAGGGATCAACACAGGTCAAAAACGTTTAGTCTCCAAACTCTTGCTCCGTCAGACCCCGATATAAAGCCATTCCCCATCTTATTTAATGGTGTGGACATAACCGCGGCCGTGACTGAATTATGGTGAGGAACGCACGTGACTCGCATCCGGTGAGTGAGGTCAGCGGGCCAGGTTTGCTGGAAATTTGTCGATTTAGTGTTTTTGTTGTCAAAAAGAAGTGACTAGATTTAAGAAATTGCACCGTGTTTCAGGTCGTGGCTGTTATTTTACTCCTCAGCCTCTCCGCTTACGTTTTCCTTTCCTGACTATTCTCTTATCTAGTCCTGCTACCATACATACAGGACCAACTCCGGAATCTCCTGAAAAAACATGCTTTCGGGTTACATTGTACACGCAGGGAGAATTAACATGGCTATTGCAGTAGAAACTAAAGCACTCGAGTGGAATCAACACAGGTCAAAAATTCTCGGAAGCAGGGCGTTTAGTCGCCAAACCCCTGCTCTGACATAAAACCCTCCCCCATCTTTTTTTTAATGGTGCAGGCAAGCGCTGCGGTCGTTCTTCTATAACAACGACACCGTTACAAAGGTTTTAAAAATTGATGTTCCATGTTTGCCTGAGAGCAGTATAACATACTGTACCATGTGCTGGTGCTGTAATTTGTTTGCATATTTTCCATGTCCTGGATATGTCATGCATATCCGACATTTCCAAACAGTAAGGCTTTGGAAAGGCGAAAATACTCTATGTCCCTGTACTGTGATGGGACTTTGTTACGGTTCCGTGCAACGTTAAAAGATCCTTAGTGTGCGGCTTGAGTTTTTAAAGTAGTTTATTGTGCAAACTACAGAACAGATCTTTTCGTTTATACTTTAATGTCAGCAGTTAATCATGGAGAAGGAAATACACCTTTTGCGTTATCAACGCAATGATCATCTTTTTAATCAAAGGCGACGTGATAGCTGGCAGCATATGTTGTGGTCTCCATCTCTGCCATAGTACTGCCATATCAACTATGATACGGCTGTAGCAATTCCTGAATACGGTATATCTTGGTTATCTGCCCTTTTCTTTCATTTGTCTCTGAACGCTCATTCCTATCTGCGTAAAACCCCTTTACCTCCACGATGCATACTTTGCTAATAAATATTTAAAAATATTTCTCCTAGATAATGTAGATGAAATCCTGCACTTTCTCTCTAATTGTCCTGTGGAATCTGTCGGCAGCATTCATTGGCAAAGCGCTTAATTAGAAACCAAGCATTAGCTGAGTTTCAAAAAGATGTGGCAGAGTGTGTCATTTACACTGTTTATAAATTCAAATAAATTCAATTTCTCTGTTGAATTAAGTTCTGAGTCCCCTTCTTTAAAAAAATGCCAATGTTTTTTCTGCCTGAAACAAACTGAAAAAGAGAATTCAAGAGGTAGATTCAGACTATAAAAACAACTCTGTTTCGTCAGGTGTATCCGTGAAAAAGTTTCACTTCCTATTTTAACATCACAAGTAAACAATGTATACATTTGTAGAACTAATGTACGTTAAAAATATCATTAACGTCTGAGCAAACGTTGAATGGGGGTTTGTAGATTTTAAATGTGCTGCATGTTAGCTATGTTTGAATACTGTTTATTGATTACAACCAAATGAAATGCTATGAAATTTAAAACAAGTTTAATTATCTTTACAAATATGTTATCATTTTCATATTCATGATGCAGAAAGGTGTCAGCTTCAAGCGAAATTAAGTTATCTGGCTTCTGGATGAGACACAATATACTTTTGAAATCTGATGAACCAGACTCTGCAGTTAATCTTTGGTCTTAAAGGAGGCGACACACAATACTTGCAGTGATTGCTTTGCTCTTGGGACAGATGACTGTGGATTGTGTTACCGTTTATATCTGTAATATAAGAATAATAATTGTTTTAAACGCTATTCAATTCCTAGGTTGTTACAAATGAGTGCAAGTGTCTCATCTCATTGCTATTATTAGCATTACTTGACCATTAATAAAAAAAAATATGTTTGGATGTAATTTGGTAAAACACTACAGAAATAAGCTATATGAATACATTTGATTATTTAGGTGCAAACAATTCTGAACTGATGATACTCGATAAATAATTTTGATATGTATATTTAATCAATACTATGCAGAATTCTAGGTAAATTACCGAGAGGGAGAATACAGACAAAGTGCCACTTAAAGAATTCAGGGAACTCTGGTTCGGTACAGAATAAAAAATGTATACTGCATGTCTCAGTCTGACACACAGCTTCATCTACAGATCTATTGGGGGAAGTGGAGGGTCTCAACTTTTTCGTTTTAGAAATCAAATTATTCCGTGCGCAAATCTGAATAAAGGATGACGTTCTCACAATGCCACCTAGCGTCGCCAATGAGTTATTTCGGCGGTCTAAACTTCGGACTAACGCCCGTAGTTTCTGTTTTAAACTATGGCGTTCGTGAGCGCTGCGCCTTCTATTTTCTCAGTTAAGAAAATAACCCCAGTAAGTCTGGACCCTACCCCGTGACTGTCACCCTGTGTTCTGGGTGTTCACCGCCCCTGTCACCCTCTGGATTTAGAGACAAGTCCGCTGTACCCTTTCTGCACGAAATTAGATCTCCCATGTGATATACAGTACCAGTCACCAGTTTGTGGACTATAGCGTTTTTAATTAAACTCAGTGTTTTCAAAAGTATGAAACAGCTGCGTTATCCTTCATTGTTTGCCCAAGAAAAGTACAAGCGCTAATGTAGAACCCGCAGGGTGAAAGCAAGTGCGGGCAGCGACTTCATGAAAGCCTGGGTGTTCGTTCACCTCTGCTGTTGATCAAAGCCAGCAGCCCGTGGCTGAGCGCTTGAGCAGTGACAATGCCACAGACTTCATGCTCCATAACAAGCACCTGTGGGCTTGAGTGAAATGAGGTCACTGCGGCGCAGATCAGCAGGCCTGAGAGGTGGCACTGGGAGCTTAGTTGAGATCAAAAGTGCTTTCAACACTGCATTAGAACAACCTTTTCATTCGCGAATAGATGGATCAGTACAAAAGAGAAGAATAAAAATGTCCATGTTATTTAACCAAGATGTGAGTGACAGGTTCTGAGTGAGAGTTTATAAAATCCATTTTTGCAGGTAATGGTATATTTATAAGGAATAGAACTGATGGAAAGAGCCACCCATCTGTACTGCACAATAAGTGACAGCAAGGGGGGTATTGAGCTTCTGCACGTACAAGACACACTTAGTGTTCAAGCATCACTGGTACCTGGGCTGTACTGGTAAGTATGTCTGCTGCATTTAAATCTTCTGAATTAAAACTGACGGCTTCAACAGGATCACCCACAGCAAGCCTCCTAGAATTTGAGATTTTCCTTCCCCTTTTAAGATTATCTAAAGATTTCTTCCATATTATAGAAATATGTAAGAGAAACTGATAAAAGACGTTGTAAGACTAGGAGCCTCAGTAAGTGAAGTTCCCCCTTAATTTCACTGGTGAAGAAGTTTGTCAGAGGGGCTGCATGGCAGTGGTGAAGTGCTATATATAAAGCACTCTGGGCTCCTTCAGGATGAGAAGAGCTGCACTTCAGTCACTTGAAAACTTAAATCTTGCACAGATTCGTCTTGAGTTCATTTTGTACTTTGCTACAAATTCGTTTTTAGAATGAAAGCTGCATTTTGGCCTTTGCAGGCGAACATTCCAGTGTTTAACAGACAATAACCTTTATTTTATTATATTTCCCAGGCTTAAAACTGCATCTCAGAGCTTGGCTAATGAGAAAGATCAATTTCATTCCTGCCTATCAAAAGGGCAACATCTCATCACATCCAGAATGTGTTTTTCTGTTGCAGCCTGTCAGAAACGAGGTGATTGCAGTCCAAACAGTGCATTCAAAGTTCCAAAAGCACTAAGTGGGAGATCAGGGAAATGTCTGTCTGTGGAGTGAACAGTGATTAAACCCAGGAATTTGCGTCTCAACATAAACGCCCAGTCTGTTGAGCTACAACTTCCAGCACAACATCATTGTGAGAAAATGAGAGACTTGCTGTGCTTTAAATACTATGAGGGTTTCCATAAACCTCTGTGATGATTCCCCTGATTAAATGTGATCAAAACGTTTTTCATCAGAACTGTTTGAATGAACTTTCGTTTGTTATTTGTGCTCTAACCTTTACATTGTACCTGGTGCCATTCTGAATGCAGACAGGTGGAGGTTTTGAGTGGCTGACATCTGAAATGTCAGTAGGTTTTTGGATATTTATTCTAGTTGGTATACTGACTCTGAAAGAACTACACCTTCAATTGAAAGAAGGCACAGACAAGCTGAGGGATACTGATATCTCTTAACAGCCCAATTAGATGAATGCTGGAAGGAACACAATTCCGATATATAAAAGCAGTACACAACTGAGCTATGAACCTGCTCCCAGTACCTGCTCACAATATTGACTCCTTCATAAACACAGTTTTCATTAGCAAGAAAAACTAATCTAAGGGGATCTGATGGGTATGTGCTTAGGTCCAGCAAGAGGTTTGCATAGCTAAATGTGCACAAAGGGATTTGACAATCAATACATTGCCATCCTCTGAGAAATTTCCACTGCAACAGAAGCAGCTTTGTCCATATGCAAGTTTACTGTTTATGACAGCAATTAAGACAAGTACAATTAGAAGTTTATCCTGTAGAAAAGAGTGCAGCTAACACTAATGGAGAATCAGTGTCCATCCAAATGAACAATTGATCAGCCCCGACACCATCTGCTTCATCAATGCCCCAGGCACACCGGTCTTTACTGGCTCACCCTCTCAGGTCTGGTCATTAGCAGTAAGCAGGCAAAATCACAAGACGCATCTTGTTCAAAAAAATTACTTTCCTGAAGGTCACCTCCACTGCAAAATTCAATTTTCCCCTAAAGGAAGAAAACCTGACCGCCTGAGACAGCGGCTTGAAGGAAAATTTACAAAACTATCAAAACCAATGCGGTTCAGTTCTCCTAAACTGGGCCATCTCTGCCATTTCTTACTCATTTAGCTATTCATTTGTAATCCTGGGCCTCAGGTCAGCTCATTCCCTTCAGTGCTGTCAGTGCTGAACGTGCTGGAATACTGTAGGTCCAACAGAGTACAGAAACAATCTTGCAGACAAAGACACATTTTTGTGTCTAAGAATGCTTTTCAAACTGTGACAGCTCAAATGAAAATAGGAACATAAATTACTAGATTATTACAAAAAAAGTGTCAAAATAAGCTACTTAGGACTCACCTAAATTGGCTTTTAAAATAATGAGTCTTCTTTGCTCCACAGGAGAGGCTGAACCACAGTTTGTCTTTCTGGATGAAAGCCATTATACTGTTGACCTTTTAAGTAAAAGAAATCTTCCGATGTAGGAGCTATATATCTCTTCCAATCCACTGGATAGAATTTAAAAAAAATGCAAGCTCATGCAAGCTCATTTATCCTACACAGTGCTATGTACAAGCTCAAATACAGATAAGAAATCTTATTAGAAAGACCATGACAAATGTAGGAAAGAATATCATCATTGAAACCAGAATAAAATTAGTTTTGGTCATGGCAGATATACTGTATTAAACTAGTAGTTTACTCAGGTGTTTACCAAGGAAGGACCCGACAACATGCCTCTGGCTGAAGAAATTTATTAAATAGCATTAACTTTGAAGAGACAGAAGAATTACAGGTACTAGAACCACTTCTGTGCAAGGCTATTCACCTCAGTGTTCAAACTGCAGTGAGGTAATCCGTTTAGCACCACAGAGATCTGTATTACGACCAATGCTTTTCCTAATTTACTGTATGTTGATGATAGAGGAATTCTTGTATCATCCCAAAACCAGTGAAGTTTGTAGATGCTACTGAAAATGAGAGAATTAGCAAATACTGTAGAAGCCAAAAGAAATTCAGAAATAGCTGGAGGGAATACCAGATGCATATTACATGTATACTAGGGAGCAGAAACATGAACTTCGACCATGTTGAAGTCACCTTATAAAAAAGACACCGACGGGGTGATGTCATCTTCTGTAATAGGCTTAGCGCCAATGATCTCTGATACACAACCGTACTACACAAAATTTACATTTTACAGGCCTAATGCCCTCAGTTTCACTGCTCAGAGGTACAGTATACACTATAACAGTAGAACATACTAAACAAAGGCGTGTGTAATACTCACCAACCTTTCACATCTCTGTTGGCAGTAAAGACATGGCATACCAGCAGCAAAAAGAGTTTGTAATGTAATTCCTTGAAAATGACTTTCAAAACTGACCTCAGGGTCTTGATTTGACTGTCTTATATGTATCTTTACAGCTGCAGTGTT